CAAAGTATGAATGAACACTATGAAATGAAATCACACATTCCTGGGGTTTTTATTTGCAAGTCCTAGATATTTAACAATTTAAAATTATCAAGTCACATTTCAGATAGCTTAACTTCTTGCAGTTGTACTTCTACTTTGAATATTGTACAATGCTCTAACATTCCAAATTTGAGAATCATTTTATTTAGGGATTATTTACATGATTTAAAATTAATGAGAAAACATGACCATCTTTGGATTCTTTGGAGAAAAAAATTGAGGTACACTATTAATTTATGGAAATATTTCTAAGACTTTTTTCCCCTCAATTTGTTTTGAACATGACTATAATTAAAGGTGATCTGAAACATCTGATCTCACAACACTTAAAAAGCCTTATAAATATAATGGCCTAACCACACAAATAATTTTTATTTACCAGGCACTTGTCATTTAAATCAAAGGCAGATGTCTACATGCTATATGATGGATTATACTACCTTGCCAGACTTTCTATTTCAGAGTATATCAGTTGCTTTCAGAGATAATTCTGAGATAACCTCAGAATTATATAAATCAGAGCAAGATATAATGCATAAGCAGATAATTATTATATTTGGTGTTCCTCATGTGTAAAAAATTTGTGATTAGTTTTTATGAATGACAAAGAAAAGTTCACTGCCACTCATGTTCCATTGTACTATCACTTCACAAACCAATTTAATTTCAGTACTGCAGATGATCAAGGCAGGTGAGAAAACTGCATAAAACAATAATGATAATAAAGAAACAGAGTAAAGTTATTTTTTGTATATGAAGTCTGGTAATATTGGACTGCTTACTCCATTTTTTATACAAGATAACTATGTGAACAAAGAAGCATGATTGCTTCTCCCAAATGATTTAACTGATTCCCAATTTTGGACCCAATTCTTTCAAATGGAAGAACAGTTCTGTACCATACTAGATAAAATTGCTATACTGTAATGTAGTCCTTGACTTGCAACTATTAATTTAGCAACCAATTGAATGGCCCTGAAAAAAAGTGGCTTACAGCTGTTTTTCACATTTATGACTGTTGCAGCACGCCACTGTCATGTTATCAAATTTTGGACACTTGGCAACTGGCAAGTATTTATGATGGTTGCAGTATCCTGGAGGTATGTGGTAACTTTTTGCAACCTTTTGACAAGCAAAGTCAATGGGGTAGCCAGAACCACTTAAAAACCATGTTACCAACTTAAAAACTGCAGGGATTCACTTAACTGTGACAAGAAAGGTCATAAAATGGGGGCAAACTCACTTAATTATCTTCCTTACCAACAGACATTTTGGGCTCAATTGTGGTCATTAAATTGAGAGCTACCTGTATATAAATAGCAATTTCATTTACCCCTGGTTAATAAAAACAAGAACAAAATCATTTATGTAAAACACTTCTGCTAATATAACTAATTTACATCACATAAACAGTACACGTAATCAGAACTGAACACAAATACAGGATTACTATCTCAATATGAATAAGGTTTGCTTACGTGTATAGACTGGCCATTTTCAAATTGAATATTCTATGATCCAAAGTCAGAGGGTTTACTGCCAGACCACACATACATACTAAAGTTGACTTAACAAAGATTGTATATATAGCAAAGCTTTCTTTTTTTGATAGATATTTATTTATAAATATGGTCTCCAAGAAAAGTTTTAATACATCTCAGACTTCAGAACTTAATTTTTAGTGAGTGGATACAAAATATAGAAAGATAATAGAAAAAATTAATGCACAGCAGTCTCAGTTATTGTACTCTTTCATCTTTGGCTTTGTCATTGACAATGTTGAAATCAACAAGGTAACTACATTAGACTTGAAATCAACTTCAATATTGCCACTGCAATAATTGTTTGAACAACATACTGTAGGCATAGTCACTGTCTTTCCCCTCTATCCAAACAGAGATTGAAGTCTGTTTTTCATTTTCTTTGCCACTTTCAATAAGGTACAGCTTTAATAGTACCAAATGATAGCCCTAAACTTTTTATATATTATTAACATTTTATGTTAAATATTTTTTAAAAAAATAAGTTACCGCGAAATATAGTGCTAAAAAACATTTTTTTTCCTTTTTCCAACCCTGTTCTAATATTAATTGAAACATAAATTACCAAACAATTTGTCTTATGAAACATCTGAGTTCTTGTTCCTTTTTTTGATTAATAAATTCATATGTCCAAAGGATTTTATCCGCTATAGTGATGAGTAATTGATGTAATATACTATGACAGTGAACATAAATTTGCAGAGGTAACTATCAATCACTTATTGATAGTTGGAAAGAAAAAAAGCACAAAACAGTTCAAATAAGCAAATATAATTTATTTATTTGATTTATATAGTAGTCCACCTTCTATGTGACTTTACTTGGCTTACAGAGAAAAATATAACCGAAACCATAACAACAAAAATCCATTAAAACAATCAAAAATATTACAATCCCAAGAAAACATAACCTGTAGGATAATGCAATCAATCTCACTAATAGTCCAGCTGTTTTGTGGCTTCCATACTACCACTACAAGAACTATAGGCCTGATGGCAAAAGTATGCCTCCAGACCCCTTCTGAAAGACCAGTAAGGTCAGAGCCTGATTGGTGAGTGAAATGCATTGGTAGAGAAAAATGTAGCTGGCAAAAAAAGAACAAGAGGGGAAATCTATGTTAATGAGAGGCCAAAATGATGCATTGTAATGATTAATGCTAGAATGTGTTGAAGGAAAGTAAGGCTTTATATCTTTACTCAGTGAATTCAATTTTACTGGGTACCATAACAAGTACTGTATTGAACCAGCCTGATTACAACTGATTCTTAATTTTCTCAAATGGAAAAGTTGGTCTCACAAAAATTACTTCAGACACCTTTTCAATTGGTTTCATCGTCCTTTGTATTATTAAGGTTAACATACATTTATTTTGTTAATACACACAATAGCTAGGTACCGGTCAAAATCCAATGCTGCTTCATATACTTCAAACCTTCAATCTGAAAATGTTCCATCAATTAAAAATTGCTAGCCGGGGGAATAAATGAAATATACTACCATTACGCGGAATTTTAGGCTTCATTATTAGCTTTTTAATAAGGGTTACATTAGCAGGGTTACATTAGCCTTGCAGTCTAGGCCCCTTTTCTAATTTTTCTCTTTTTTGCCAAGGCCATTTTTTGGTATGTGAGATTTCAGCAACTAAACAATATAGATAACCATCAACTTATGACCACAATTGGGATTGAAATTTTGGTCATTGAGCAAAGTGGTCATTAAACAAGATGTCACATGACTGCTTTGTTTCTATGACTGCAATCCAGGTGCTCCTGGTTGTGGTCTTTAAGTGTTCTTGCACGTTATTAAGCATATGGAATACCAGTAAGGCATATTGAATGCTTAAGGGAGGTGGAGAAGACCTTGGGAGACCTGGCACAGGCCATGCACAACTCTACCCCCATCCATGCACCCCAAACTTCTTATTTTATTGCACTATCTGTCTGCTCAGGAATTTTAAAAAAATGCTTGGATTTCTGGTCTCATTCCCCTCTGGAGTTGGCTGAAAAAGCTCCCTGCCAAAGGATTTCAGTTCTGTCCTTACTTTGATTTCATAAGTAGAACAGATTGCCAAGTACCGAGATCATGTGACTAAAGAGGATGGTGCACTGTTTTGCCACAATCTGAAATGCTTTACAGACCCTAAAGCACCCTTTCTGAAGCCATTGTTAATTCGAACCATCATTAAGAAAACATTCCTAAATCGAGAACTATTTATAGACAGCATATTGTTAAAGTTCTTGAATACACTTGCAGGTTTTAAACAAGATACACTAAGAACTCTTAGTGTAACTCACCAATTTACCACTAGTGGAATGTTATCTAGAATCAGTGTTTTTTACTGTTCAATTTTCACAAAATAATAATCAGTTTTAGTTTGATCACTTGCTTTCTGAGGTATCACATACAGTGAATATGGGCACCATTTGTTTCTAGTAAAAAAAACGGTTAATCCCCTTTAATAAGTGCTTTTTGCTTTGCCTGGATTACTTGGCAATTCGAATTCTTGGTTGGGTGAAGAAGCCCCTTTGCAAAGTGAAAAGTCTCTCTCAAATTCAGGTATCAAGTTTTTATCAACTCCATGCTAAATTCAGGGTCTCTGAATTTCAAGGCAACATTACCTGCATTAAATCTTTCACTTTCAAAAGATAATAGACGACAGGCAGCAACACATTTCCTGTTTGAAAAGAACCATACAGAAATGAAGCCGGTCCTTAGCCCAGAGAGAAGTGATTGTGGTACCCTACAAAACAAACCTTTTCTTTCAGGAAACGCGCAACCCGCAAGAAGTGTCCAGTACGCTTCAGTCAATTTCCCGACATCATATTTTTTTTTTGGGGGGGGGGGGGGGAAAGAATCCAAACTTAGCACAGCTTTTTTGCCCCAGGCCCAGAAAAAAAAAGTAATTTCATTTGTAAAAATTATTTCTTTATGACAAGACAGCCGTTTAATTTGAAGACCGGGGGAAACTGACCATTCACTGCGGCGGGCGGAACTCTTGTTGTCGAAGCTCTTCTCTTGCCTCACGGTATTGTCCGCATCCGGGTAAAGAAATTCCCACGGCAATTCCAGGGAAAAACCGGACCTTTCCCAACAAGTCCGTCAGCCGGAGAGTCGTTCAAATTTTGTAGACGAAAAGCGAGCGCCCTTTAATCGCCTTGTACACTTTACCACAGGCAGCTCTTCCTCTTGTCGGCGTGATTCCTCCTCCACCCCCACCCACTCCCCCGTCAGCACGACCATCTCTGCGGGCCTACCCAACCCAACTGCGGGAGCGGCGGGAGGAAGGCCTGTTTGAGTGATTTTCTTGCCCAATGAAGCCGCGCGTCGTACTTCACTGACATCCGCGTCGCGCGCAGCCTAACGGCTCCGCCTCCTCCTTCTCTGGCCCGTGGGCGTGTGCGCGAGGCGGAGCGGTGAGGGTAGCATGTTGGGCTGTGAATGAACGGCTGGTTTGGGTGACGGCGTGAGCGCGAGCGAGCGAAGGAGCGCGCTCCACTGAAGAGAGAGAGAGCGAGCGAGCGAGCGAGAGCAGGAGAGGGCGCGAGTGAGCGGGCCATGGCCGGAGCTCAGTGACTGACTGACTGACAATAGAAACCAGCGAGAGCTGCAGAAACGCCCGCAGTCCCAGGAACAGAAGCGGAAGGCCGCAGCCACAAAACAGAACGCCGCCTCTCGTTAGATTTCGCCGAGCCTCCTTCTTCCTCTCCTCCTCCTCCTCCTCCTCGCACCCCGCAGGCAGCTCGGGCCGCGCTCGCTTGGCGCCCCTCCTTTCCCCAGGCCGACTCGCCGGGAATGTGAGAGAAGCAGCCGCGGAGAAGAAGGAGGAGGAGGAGGCCTGGCAAGCGGCGGTCGGCTCGTCAGGAGGAGGAGGAGAAAGGCAGGAGAGGCCCCGGCCCGGAGCGTTGCATGGGACCGAGTGGAAGCTGCTGTTGCTGCCGTCGCCGCCGCCTCCGATCCTGACTCCGCCGCTAACGTCGTTTTGCGCTGGGGAGGCCGACGAGGCCTACCAGGCTGCGGCTGCTGCTTCTGCTTCTGCGGCAGGGAGCGCACCGCAGAAAGAGAGAGGGAGGGAGAGACACGCGCCGACGAGGCTTGCCGCCTTCGCTTCAACCAGGGATCGCCCTCATCCTTTTCTCTCCTTTTCTTGTCTCCGGATTCTCTACCAGGAGGGATCAAGGTAACTTGCTTACCAGGCCTGGGAAGCTGACGGGGAGAAATGGGGGAAACATTATTAGAGAGGGGCGGAGAAAAGGGAGCCGGTGGAAGGAGAGCGGCTTAGGGTTTTCTGTACAAACCCGGCACGCGAGATCTTTTAGGACTTGATCTCTTCCTTCTTAGGGGTCATCTAGCATAGGCAATAGCGGCCAGCCGACCTCACATCGGGATTGGTGTCTCCTCTGTTATCAAAGGATCCCTTCCCTTGGTATTATTTTTTTCAACCTCGTTTCCTAATTTTCCCTTCTCCCAATCTCTGACGTCTGTGATAAATCAGTTGCTTTATAGTAATCATCGTCTTTCGATCACATCCTTTAAAAATAATCTTTCTCGTCTCGGTTGTGCTGGTGGTGGGGATAAATGCTGCGGTTCACCTTAATAAATGGCAGTTATTTCAAGAATAATTTGTTATTCCCATTTTTAAAGAATGAAGTCCTATTTTAGACGATATGAGGGGGAACCCCCCCCCCATGATATTGTTTATCCTTATTGCTAAGGATGGCTAATTTTGAATGAGGTTTAATCATTTATAAAGAAGGAGAGAAGAACTGTTACTAAATTTATAGCTGAGATGTGTTGTTTCTTGTTGACACAATGATCCTGCAGCTGAACTGATCTGCTTGAGGACTTGTCAGTTAATATGATGAGTGGTTCTGTTTAGAGACTGTGGAAATATTTCTGGAGGGATGGAGATAATGTATTATAAGAATCATGGGCAGTGCAAATATAAACCTTCCATTATATATTCAGAACCTAAGATTCTAGTCTCAGTTGGGGAGCAAAAGTTTGTAGAACCTTTGGATTTAGTGGCTGGAATTTTGCTTTCCATGTTACAGTATCTGGGGATTTCCGATTCCCAGTGGAATTAAAGTAATACTTTAGTTATTCTTTGAAGAACATTTCTCAGTATGCATAAGGTGCTGGTTTCATGTAACTAAAATACTGATAGCAATGTTACTCTTGTAGAAAGCCTTACATATAAATTGTTTATATGTAATATTAAAATTGATAACTATTATACTAATCAAGTATTACTATACTTTCATACTAGGCTATGCAACTTGGTGTAACAATGCAATGGTGTCCATGAGAATAATGACTTGATAAAGTAGCAATTGATTTTGATAAATCTGCTTTTTCCACTGAGCATCAATCGGTGTAATTTTTGTAGTAGAAAAATAGCTCTTATGCACACAATTGTGGTTTGTCCCACTTAAATTTTGGTACCTATGTTGTCATGCTAAAAGTTTATAATACTCAGATATCAATTTTCCAGTTTGATAAGATAGTGTTCAGAAGTATGTCATTATGGCAATAATACCTTCTGTCTTAAAAAGATTGTGTAGATGTCTTATTGTGTGCACTTATTGACCTGATTAAATTTACTAAAGAAATAAATGAATATTGTAGTGATCTTTAGTGAGTATTTTATAATATGTAATTTCAGTATTATGCTTAGTATTACTTGAAAATCTGTTTTGGGCATAAGCCTTGCTTTAAAAGCTTTGTATTATTTAATATATATTTAATGTATTGCTTCAGACCTACATCTCCATCAAAAAAACAAGAAACCACTTTTCCCCCTAGGAGGACATTTATATATTTTTTAAAGATGTTAAAACATTTTTATTTTTATTTAGAAACTTTCCCATCTTTAGCATTATTGTCATCTTTATAAGGTGGTAGCACACAAATCTTTCTCTTATATCATGAGCAACGTTGAGCTAAACTTGTCTGAATGCCAAGATACTCTAAGAATCTCCTCAGCCTCCATGTATTTACTATATAAATAGATGCTTTGGCTTGAATGGACTGAAAATAGTAGAGGAGAAAGCTCCTAAAACATGCAAGGTGAGAAAAGGATGATAGCTTTTTTTCAAAGTTATGACTTTGAAAAAAAATAATCTTGTGCTTATCAGGATGCTACTGCTGCATTTATATTTTCCTCTTTCCTAGGCTATTCCCTACATTTTGCTTAACCAATGCAGAGTGGTATCTTTGACTCACTGAGAAAGGTGACCAGATGCCACATACCAGGTTTAGGAAGGAAGCAGCTACTTGACTGATAATGCTCATAGAGATAAGATGTGAAAAGCAAAAGTAGAAATCTGGTCCACCAGCAACTTCTAGATCTGAATTACTGTGAGAGGGACAGTCTGTGATGGTCAGGGAGCACAAGTAATGGCTGAGGTGGGTTTAGGGACTTGATCTACAGCTAATTTAGACAGATTCTGTGTTCCAACAGCATACCTCTGATTGAAAATCACTATCTCATGGGAAGGCTATGTAATGATGAAAAAGCTTTAATTTTAAGTTTAAATAGACAAGTTATGTATCATCTACTGTTCCCCCCCCCCCATTTTCTGTGAAGCAAAAGATAAAAGTAGCATAATTGCTACTTTTGAAGAGCATCCGGAAGCTCCAGTTGCTGCAAAATGCAGCGGCCCGCATGGTTTTGTGCAGACCCCGGTATGCACATGTGTCACCTCTCGTGCAGGAACTGCATTGGTTGCTGATTTGCTTCCGGGTGCAATTCAAGGTGCTGGTTGTCACGTTTAAAGCCCTTCATGGCTTGGGACCGGGTTATCTGAGGGAACGTCTCTTGTCCGTCACATCTACCCGACCCATGAGAGTGGGGAGGCAGGGAATGTTGTGGGTCCCATCCCTGAGGGAGATACACCTGGTGGGACCCAGAAGAAGGGTCTTCTCCATGGTGGCTCCCTCTCTCTGGAATATCATTCCCCCAGAGATTAAAATGGCCCCCACTCTAGCACTCTTCCAGAAGGCACTGAAGACCTGATTTTGCCAGCGGGCCTGGGGAACGCAGAGCGGGATGGAGCCCATTAAATGACTAGTGTGATCTGCTGTCGTTGGGGTGGAGGGTGGGATTTGGGGGGTGATTTCCCCCCTCAGATTTTGTTCTATTGTACTTTATTAATTTATTTGATTCTTTTTGTTAGTTTTTATTGTTTTTTATTTTTATTTTTTGTTTTAAATATGGTTTTACATTGTGTAAGTTGCCTCAAGTCGCCATGGGCGAATAGGTGGCAATATAAATTAATTAAGTAAATAAATAATAGCAGATATATTAACTGTCTAACTTTTGCATAAACTGTTATTGGATTGGTGTCCTTGAATGTGGAATTTTTCAATAGCGATGACTGGAAGATACATTATACTCTTGCCAAAGTACGATAATTGTAGAAAAAATGTAATTCTTATGTATGTATGTATGTATGTGTGTATGTATGTATGTATTTATTTATTAATTAATTACTGGAGTGCTATTGCTATTAAGATATTACAGACTTGTTTTTTCTGCCTGTTAGTGGCAGATGAATGTAATGCAGGAAAATTTTGAAGAGTATCTCAGAAGAAGGAGAATACAATGGCAATAAAATAAATTCATGGCACAGGAAACTGTAATACTTGTAAAGCCAGACAACATGGAAAAGTTCAAGTAGTCCCTACTGTTGATAGATTGATAGATCTGACTAGTTGCTTTCAAGATAGGGTAATCAGAACTGGATTAGGATAATGGGGCTTTAAAAAAGGTTACTGCATATGCCCAATGTATTAAAGACATTCTTCCTCAAATATACTGAGGTCACCTTCTTGAACTGTCAGCATTGGTCAAGTTGGCTGGAGAATTCTTGATAAAATTCCATACAACCGGAAGATAGGAAGGATAAACTAAACTATACACAGTAGTTAACTATTACTTGGTACTATGATCAATGAGAGTAAAACATGGACAGATTAGGACTTTTTTTCCTTCATATTTACTTGAAAATAATGTCTGTTCTTTTCAGTAGGGATATGTCCTCAGCACCAACCACTCCTCCATCAGTGGATAAAGTAGACGGATTTTCTCGGAAGTCCGTCAGAAAAGCTAGGCAGAAGAGGTCGCAAAGCTCCTCCCAGTTTCGGTCTCAGGGCAAGCCTATTGAGTTAACTCCACTGCCTCTGCTAAAAGGTAAGGCTTTGTGGCCCTTTTAAATATTGAGAAACAGTGGTTATACAACATCTATTTGCAGCCATATTTACTATTGTATTAGTACATTTGAATATTTGTATGTATGTATACAGATGTGCTGTTCTTTAAGCATATACCTATGATGCAGGAATGTAAAATAGCTGCTATTTTAGCAGGAAGTGCAGGATTTGTAAATTACTGCTTTATCATAGCATCTGGCTATTTTTGAAACATTTAATCTTTAATAATTTTGTAGCTTACTGATAGAGGAAAATGTGTGAAAAATATAAAACTATGGGGAATGTTTTCTATTCTGGGCATAATTTTACTGTCAAAACATTTCAGCCTATGGAAAAGTATAGTTCTCACTACATGTTATATTTTGTAAATATGGCAAATAGGTATCAGAACATTCTGTTTCTGCTCACATTTTTTCTTCCCTCTGGTTATTTAGTTCATTTACAAAGAACAAGGTATAGACTGTAATTGAACAAAGATAATGCATCATCATTTTGCTAGAGTCAAACAGAAAAAAAAAGTTAATATGTATCTCACAGTAATAAAAGTACCCTGATAATCGTGACTTTGTATTGCAGAATTGGTTTTTGTTGGATTTATGAACATACCTTGCTGATAGAGAGATTGGGTCTTTACTCAAACTCAAGCTCAGTCAACTTGTCTACTTTTAAAAAAACTTCAGATATTGGAGAAGTGGGGTAAACTATATATTGTCTTTTCCTAGTGCTATATAGTATGTCCTAAGACAAAGTAGTCAGATCCTCTGAAAATCCTATTGTAGTTGCTTTGTAGGCTTTCTTCAGTTTTCTCTATGTGCACGCATATGTTCAGAAAACACTTCTGTTAGGACCAACTCATTATTTTAATATTTTGAGGAGGGTGCTTCGCTTGCACAGTACTTTTTGTGATACACTTTGCATTGCTCTACTAAAATACTGTAGCCAACATTCTTGCTTTAAAATATCCGATTTCTATCAGTTTTGATTGGTTTTTATGTCTTGTTTAAAATGAAACAATGTTGTATTTGAATATTAACTATTGTTTAAGGTCTCAGCATAAAATTCCATGTGACACTTGAATTTTACATAAATCTACCAAAACTAAAATGCTTAGAAAGTAATGGAGCTGACTTTCCCTATGTTAGGTCAAAAAAAAATAATGCAATTTGACTGATCAAATCATGATTGAGGTTGGAGAAATTATATAATAGAAGAGAGGGTGGTATTAATCAGAAAAGTCTTGCTTCACAGATTTATAATGGCTAAGCAGTATTCTAAACTATGATCTAATTATTATAAATAATTTATGGATTGTTACAGATTCTAGGAATTTAATATGGAACCTTCTGTATACAAGATGCTTATTTTATAACAGTACACTTTCCAAATATTGCAATGCCAAAGTTTTTTTTTTTGAGAAAGTGGATTATTTTTATTAATTAAAATTATTAATAAAATTATTAATTTAAATTTGCACTGAAACAAACTAATTATCCCATAAACAGAATAATTTTTAGTGTGGAAGTAGTGGTGATCAGGAAAATTCTTATCATGATTTAAACGGAGAAGAATATTTGTATGTGTCCAGTCCTTGTGCAATTGGGTAGTAAAGAACATTGATTTGTTTTATAATTGTTAGAAAAACATTTCACATTTTTCATAAAAGGTATTCTTGACTTCATAGAATATTTATTTATTTATTTATTTAAAAAGGCTTGTTTTCCTCTCAAATCCTGCAAGATTCCTTTCTAAAAAGTTAAAATGTAAAACTATTTAAGAAATACTGCTTAGAAATTCTATGAGTTACATATTTAATATGCAATTATTCATATATAATTATAAATCACACATAGATAATATAAGTTCTGAATTACATACTTTTTATGATTTCTCAAATCTATTAAATTATTGGGATAAGAGAACGTTTCTGATTTCTCAATACCACCATGACATTGCACGGGGTAAATAAATATTTAGTAATACTGTTGAACATTTCTTCAGTGTCAAAACATACCACCTACCAAACTAGTTGCTGAGATAATGTAGTTCTATATTATTCTTCATATGATGGAGGATTCTGTATTCATGATTAAAAATTAAATTGTATACTCATTTATAATTCAGTCTATGTATTACTACATTAATTTGGTTTAATTTCTTAATGTCTGGGAAAACGTTTATTAATTGAGATTTTCAGATTTCAGATAGATTTAGGGCATCAAAAATTTCATGTCTTTGGCACAAATGTGTAAAAAAATCATTTATTAATAAACCAAGTGCATATCTGAAGTACTTAATGACAATTTTTACCCTAGGACTATGATTTACTCAATGAGTAACTACAAGTATGTAGGTTTGATAGAGCATTTTACCTTTTAATTCTAGAATGTTAACTTGAATTATTGACTACCTGCCAGGACTTCATTGATTTAGGTAGAACATTATATATTTAAAGAGCTAATAATTGTGTTGGCACAGGTGTAATTATGTCAGCTGAATAATTCATCTATCAAATGAAGACTATTGAATTTATAAAGACTGTTGAATCTCTATATTAACTCTGTATTGTAAAAATAAGTTTACTTCATGATTTTCTCTCATAGTAAGTATGTTTGATATTCTTGAAATTATATTGCATTCATTTCTCATTATCATGAAATATTTCTTTTATGATATCAGAGTAATATTAATTGCTCAAATGAAAGACCCATGATAGAAAAATGGGCAGAAAAAAATAAGTACTTTGATTGAACTACTTACCAGAATTTTATTTAGTGATGAAATCTTTTAGGTAAGCTCAGAAGATCTAGTTATGCTGATTTTAACACTTTCTAATGGAACATATTCATGAAAAGTTATGAAAATTAATCAGCAAATCTGGACTTGGGGAGTGGAAGTATGTGAATGTATATTATTTTCATTTTCCTCATTTTTTTCAGAATCTTTTGTGACTCTTCACATCTTTAGTTGGTACTGTTGAAAGAAGTGATAAAGAGATTTAGGTTTTACAAATTATCTAAATGAATTTATTCAGGCAAAATGTCCTAACTTAACAGATGTTGATGGTATTTGATTTAAGACTGATTGTCCAAGGGAAGGATATTGGGTTTCTGCAGGATGGCTTGAATATGTTTATCCAATGTTTGGCTGCTGTGAAAAAAGCAAAGTCTATATTAGGAATAGAGTGAGTGAAGATATTAATATCAGTATTATAATACTGATATAAGCCTGATTTATGCTATTTTTATTCTGAGTCTCAAGCAAATATATGATACAAAATAAACTTGTATGTATAAGGAGATATTACGATGTTTGCATTTTTAGTTGAAAACAATTACAGGTTGAAATGGTAGGAATGTATTATGCACACTGTAGAAAAAGTTTATTCTGTATGAGAGTTGGAAAGAAAGATTTTTCTAAAGGAGCCACATTTCATTTATAGATTGTTTTGGTGTTAATGTTGAATAGTTCTCTCTGGTAACAATACTGTGAGAAGGTCTGTAGAGAACTGGACACAGTATCCCAAATGAGGCCTAACAGAAGTAGAAATTGGTTCAAATTCCTATTAATTATTCAAAACAAAATTTGTCTTTTTAGCATCGTACTTTTGGGTCAAGTCCAATTTCTGATTCTTTTCATGACTGTTACCAATATAGCCCAGGCAAATTCCTCTTATCCTGTAAGGTAGCCTTCAATTTATGATCACAATAGGACCAGAGGTTTGTTCGTAAGCTGTGTCAGTTGTATATTGAGACACCCACATGATCAACCCCTTTTTACAACCATATTTACAGTGGTCATTAAGTGAATCATACACTTGTAAGTTGTAAGTCTTCATCTATTCTCCTGAATGGATATTTTTTCCTGGAAACTGGAAAAAACATTGCAAAGTATGGCATGTGATCACAAGATTTTACAACAGCTAGAAGTGCTTTTCAGTTAAAGAACTGGTCATGAATCAAGGGCTACCTCTAATTATGACTTCTGTTTTTCTCCCCAGATGCAGAACTTTACATTTCTCACCTTAAATTCATTATAGTTGTTTCTGTATGAACTTATGTATATCTTGAGCTATTGAGCTATTTTTCCAATTTTTGTCACATCTTTATATTTGATAATCATATCCTCAATCCAAGTCATTAATAAAAGTGTACACTCTAGGACAGGGGTCTCCAACCTTGGCTACTTTAAGACTAGTGTCCACAAGTCTTAAAGTTGCCAAGGTTGAAGACCCCTGCTCTAGGACACTTAGTACTACTCTGTAATCTATTGTATAGCCATATGTCAATATTTTTTGGATGTGAATGTTCAGTCTGTTATGAAGCCATCTAAGATTTATCACCTAACATATTTTATCATTTTATTAATTTTTAATTAATATTATTAAGATATTATAAAATATTTTGTTGAATGTTTTGCTGAGGTTAAGATATACTATGTCAATGGCATTCTCGAATCTATTAAAGTTGCAATTCTCTCTCAAAGAAGAAGGTAAAGTTTATGTGACTTGACATATTTGTCACAGACTTATGGTAGCTGTTCTTCTGGGACCTCACTGATTTTCCAGAAGCTCACCTACAGAGGTTATCTTGGAGAAAAAATAAGACACTTAGCAAAATATGATTTAAAGCTGGAAAAACAAAATAATATTAGAAAATAGCTCTGTCTTCATTTTTTTCGGCTGCCAGGTCTTCAATTCTGTTACTTTAGGCCTATAACAGTTCTACCTCAGTTTGGCATTTAATTCAATCATTCCTTTGGATCTAGTAGACAAACTGAGCCTTTTAGGCTTTAATACACGCAACTAGATTCTTGATTTTGTTATTGATAAGTCCCAGTATGCGCGAGTTGGGACTAATATTTCTAACACCATTTTCCTGAGCATAGGTTCTCCTCAAGGCTGTGTCTTAAGTCTGCTGTTGTTCACCCTGTTGACCCATGTCTGTTGTGCAAGATTTGTCAGCAACCATATTGTGAAGTATG